TTTATAACGTCCAGATAGTTATCAAATGTTTCTTAGGAAAAAACTTTATATTTTATCTGTTATTTTTCAGTAATTAATCTCTGTACGGGTTCGGTAGATTTTACCAATCTTGCACCCACCATAAAAAATTATGAAATAAATACAAGTTCTGCCTCTTTCATTTTAGAATGAACAGAAATTATAACAAGAAAACATAAATGGTTAGACTAAATAGCTTAAATCTCATAACATTATACATTTATATATATTTATTATTTTTATTATATTGACCTTTCAGCCATGCCTGGCTAACAATACAGAACTTAACAAATAAGTTCTTAAACATGTTTTCCCTAAAATATAGAACAGTAAATAAAGAAGTACAGCAAACAATTATCTCTTCTAATTACGACCTTTGTACTCAGATGCTGTTTGATGTAGGTTGCTAAGCCTTTAAAAAATATATTTTTTTTAGGTTTTATATATACATTTGAATAAGTAAAAAATCATGAATTACTACATTAATATCATAGAATTCAACTACATTTTATCTAGCAGACTAAAGACACACCCTACCTTGTTGAAATATTGGTTTAAATAAAAGAAATGATGCCAAGTCCATTAAAATGGCTGAGAAAGCCACTAGGGGTACATTCTGAGCTTCCAATTGGTTATTCATGTCATATATAGAAGTAAATCTATATAAGGGAGTGTTTCCAAAAATGGAAAGAGGTGGGCAGGGTGCCACTAAGTTTGATTTATCACATGAGCAATATCTTAGCAAATTGAAAAGATAAGAGGCTCTCATTTTATATTCTAGCTTGTCAATGTTGGTAATTTGAGTTTCTAATTCATATGAAACTACATACTTAGTATTTTAACTTCACAAACATCTAATTTGAAACAGTGCTGCATTCAACATACACAAAAATCAGTGTTAATCTGTGTTTTATAATTTGAATTCTAATCTGCAGTTTGATACCAAACTTACTGACATAAATCCATGAAACAGTAATTCAATAAAATTTTGAATGCGAGTCAACAAACGAGATAACATGGCCTTTCACCTGTGATCTGTCTTGAAAGGGATAGTACAAGGTTGCCTCAACTATTTATTCAAACCTGGCCTCTGTGTCTGATATCTCTACTTTATATGACTGAACTCTCTTCTCTCTCTCTTTTTTTTGTTTTTATTATTATTATTATTATTATAACTTGGCATTTTTTTTATATTGACAAATTTTTGTTAAAGACACAGGGTTCTCACTTGGGTCCCCACTGTGAAGGGTCTCAGACTTTCAACTTGCTTTTTAAAGAGTTCCAGTTAGATTTTCAAGGGTTCCATTTGTATAACAGACTCAAAAACAAAAGCATAATGTACACTACGTGTTTACCTTCTGCAATTGGAAAAGAACATATTAATGGTTAATGAAAAACTTTATTTGCAACGAACAACTGTGTTGTTTACATTTATGATTTTTTTCATCAGTGTTAAAGAAGTGCACATTTGTGCTCAATGAAAAACTATTATTTATAATGTACACTACATGCTGCTTACCCTCAGCAAGTGCTAAAGTAGGACAATATGCAAGACGATAAAATGAACAGTTTTTCCAATAACAATGAAAATACATTCTTCTGTTTTTAAACTATCATTACTTAAAAGTAACTCCTTGATTTCTTGTCTTCCCTTATGATTTGTTTTGGTTGAATTAACATGTTGTTTATAAACAAGTTATTGTAATAACCTGCTTGTGTACCAACTACTAAACTTTTCTTTCTGGAATGACTAACTTACAACATAAGACTACAATTGTTTATCCTTAGTAGTTTAGAGCTTGTAACAGTATAATATCTATTTATACTTAAATTTTATTGTTTTACTGCCTTTGAACAGCTAGAAGTTGATGGTGAACAGCTGTGTGCAAACTGTATGCTGTTTAATTTGTTATGGTACAAACTTTGAAGTGAAGTAGTTGTGCTTGGTTTATGTTACGAGTTTAAAGCTACTTAGGATAACCAAAAGTAGTTTCCTTTTATAATTTGAAGTCATTCTAGAAAAAAAAAGGGTAAGTTATATTTATTTGATTTACTTTTGGTGGTTATGAGGTCGGTCAAATTGACCAACCTTGTATAGAGTTAGGGTAGAGAAAATAACAGAAGATAAAGTTTTCCTGAAAAAAAAAGTTTGAAATGTATTTAGGAGGTTTTTAGATTTTTGAGATAAAGAAAAGTACTTTTAATCTTAACATGAAAATCACTTTGCACTCAGATTAGTCAAAAAAGGACTAGATGTATTCATGGACAAATCTTTTTTTAGCTTATTAAAAATACTTCTCTAAAAATCTGAATTTTTGTATGTATAATACTTGTACTTGTTTACTGAAAGTCTGCCAGAGTTTGTGTAGATACACATACTCTATTAAAAGTTAGTAGTATCAAAACTATAATGAATACAAAGTGGTCATGTGGGCAGTCAATTTGACTTAGGCTATGTAGAGAGAGTTAAAAAGTCCATAGATAAATAAATAAATTTTCAATATTTTGGCATACAAATCACCTAACTTATTAACACAAAGTAAAACAGAAAAAGTCTGCAAAATAAGTTTTGTATTTCAAAATTGAACAAAAAAAGTCAAATTTTATACCTCCAAAAGTTCTTTTTCACATGCTTTCTTTAGCATTCGATAACGTTTTTCATCAGATGAAGAAAGCTCACCAGTCTCATCTTTAAGCTGTTGTAGCTTGTGCAGCTCTGAGTGACTAGGAAAACATAGAATATAATTAAATGTTAAATTTAAAGTACTAGAAAACATAAATATGTTATTATTCAATGCAATAGTTACAGTCAATATTCAGTCTACATTTTAATTTTCCTTTAAGTTTAAATGTGATTAAAATATTCCTAATACCCAAACTGTCACAATCTAAAATACAGTAATTTTTTCTTTTTGAAAAAATTTGATTCAAGTGTATTAAAATTATAAGGCATTTTAAGCTGCTATTTACAGAAAAAACTAAACATTTATTATAATTAACATGATCATGTTTATTACTGTTATTACTGCAGTATATAAGCATGCCATACATTTTATACCTTCTTACTTTAATATAGTATTTTTCAGATTCTGGTATGTACAGCTTTCACATAACTCGTGAAGAAAATCATTATGTTGCTTCATTCTAGCTGCCTTTGTTCTTTGTCATTCTCTTGAGGTTACAGTATAGTCTACTTTTTACAGTAGGTCAGATGATTACCCAAGGTTGTGCCCTCCCTTAAGTTTGAATGAGATTGACTTGTCTTCGATTGACTTCGAGATGATATCTCGAAATAATAACATTAGGTTTAAACAATCTGGTATACAATCTCGAACAAAATAGTTTAGAGAAAACAGTTTATGATACAGTAGAAGTGACTGTCCAGTATCAAAACCAGTAAACACACATTATTAGGATTATTATATAATGATTAGTTCATTGTGTCTCACCCTGAGACTGAGTTCATGAGAATGAAATTATGAAGCTGGACAAGCTTCTTAATTCCATTGTCATGAACTCAGTAAATTTTAGAGTAATTCAAACCTACTTTGTAATATATATATGTCAAATTTTCCTGTTATTCAATTGCTCTAAAGAAAATCAGTGTGACCTGAATATACCATAATATTCTGAATACACACAGAGTTCATAAAGTTTGATTGACAAAAAATTCAAGGCATTCTCCATTTTCATTTTCTAAAATCAACATATGATTAGTCACGACACACCATTTTGAGTTCATGCCTCGATCCTGAAGCAGCAGTGGTATTAATAAAGATACAGGAGATTTAGAATAAGTTGAAATATAAACTGAAATTTATAGATTTCTGTATTTTTCATTCCTTCATGTTACTAACTTGATACTTTGGTGCACATGTACATCTCAAGTGGAAGCACATTTTTTAGAGTATAATCACTTAACCTCAATAAATCTTAAATAAATTAACAATTCAATGAAAAAATACTTACTATAATTATCAAGTTTTATGCATAATCTTACAGATACTCAATTTTATTGGTTTTTATATGCTACTATGTAAATAAGAATGAGCTTGCAATCATAGCTCTATATAAACTATATCTTATTAAAACTTATGAATTAATACATATTTGTATATGGGTTGCATTATCTTGAAGCATAACATTATGAAAGTCAGTGAAGTTTCATTCAGCAGGGTAATTCTCCTAATTTATATGAATACTATAATTAAATATAAATATATATATTACCCTTCCATATTCCTGATTTGGTTATGTAATGCCAGGAATGAAACTGGTGAATTTATAGCTTCACGACTTTTTGCACATAAACGAATAACCTGAAAAAAAATCAATGCTTAATTAAAAACAATGTATATAAACTGTATCTTGTTATATTGGATTGGCATAAAATACCTTAATAGAATTTTAATGAAACAAGATATAATTTCTACAAAATTAAAATACTCAATACTGAGAGGCCAAGAATTCCAGGTACTTGTGCAAATAAATAATAAAAACATTACAACAATCAACATTTTGAAGTACGCAATTTAGAAACTATAGATTTTTAATATCTGGCATCTTAACTTGGCAAATCTTCTCTGTAGTTTGAATAAAATGTGATAGTCTTTTAAACTAAAGAACCTTTAATCCAGTGCGATGAATCTTTTCTGTCAGTTGGTCAACAGCTATGTTACTAGGTGCACACACTAGAACAGGGCCATTACTTTGTCTCATCAGATGATAGACAATAGTAGCAGAAGTAACAGTCTTTCCTGTACCTGGTGGCCCCTACATTAAAGAAACTATTCATTGAAAAGAATAAAACTTTACAATATTTTGTTTATTTTTATGAACAAACCAAACCATAACTTAAAATACAAAAGTATTAATTATTATTACTTCTAATAATATATTTATTTATTTTTTTAAATAACATTAATTACTTCCCTAAAACCTACTGCATTACTTCTGAAGTAGGTGCTAACTGAAAATGACTAAATGAATTACATAACCAACCTTTTTTAAAGATTATTATTTTGATATTTAGAGTAACTAAGGAGACACCTGTTATGGAGATAATCTATCAGCAGTTAAAATAGAATTATTATTTTGACACTATCTAAAGAAAAAGTTTAATTTCATGCTAAGTATAAAGATGACTAAGTGTCACCTTGTTATTATTTAACCTACAGCTGATGGGACTATTTTTTAATCAGATTCATTCAAATAGATATAGGAAAGTATACACAAATAGCATGGTAAGTAACATAATATATATATATATATATATATATATACACATACAAACACACACATTGAAACTGTTAACTCACTTGAATCAAAGAAAGAGGTCTCTGAAGTGAATGTTTTACTGCATATACTTGAGAACGGTTCAGCTCAGGCAAGTTTGGAGCAGAAAAATGTTTAGGTAATTGACAACGCAAAATGACATCTTCTACTTCGTGTCCCAGAAGCTTATGATAAATATAAGCAGATACACAGGTCTCATCTACAGCAAATTTTCTCAAAGCTGCTTGCATTCTATATTGAAAAGTAAAATTACCAAAATTTAAAATTATGGTAGCGTAACATGCAAAAGTTAATCACAAAACTATAACTGAATGAGCATGCTTTAGACTGTCTAAGAAACTAAAAAAATGTATTTCAACATCAATACTACAATATTGAAACAAAAATTTAATTCATTAACCTAATGCTTATATTCCATGTTTAACACAGCTTTTTTCTTTCTTAGCAAAATACCAAATGGGTTGAAAGCAAGCTCAGATACCAATCACAATAACTGTCATGATTATTTATTTAGTAGTATGACATGAAGAGTGTACAATAGCTTTTCAACTATATTTTGTTTGTAGTATGTCATTACCAACAAGGCCTTTCAGTACCAAAGGAGAGGGTGTAAACACACACACACATATATACATATAAAGTGTTTAAAATAATTATGGGAATGGTGAAAAAAAGGTATATAACGCAATTAAAATGAGAATGCTATTCCTTTATCATGTGAAAATAAACTGCACCAGAGTACAGTAATGTTTTGATAGCTTACACTGTGACTGGTTGACATCCAAATAATCATAAAGTGCCACAGCAGTATAACCCTTTCGAGATGGGTCATGGGTGAAAGGCCATGTCATCTTGTTTGGTGACATGCATTCAAAATCTTATTGAACTACTATTTCATGAATTTATGTCAATAACTTTGGTATCATACTGTAGATTATAATTCAAAACTTAGTACTATATATTACTCAATCTCTTAATTTTAAAAACAAATATTAAAGAAACACAGATAAACATTGATTTTTGTGTGGCAAGTGGTATGTTGAATGCAGCACTGGTTCAAATTAGATGTTTGTGAAGTCAAAATA